CAGCCCTATCTGTTGTCCAACCTGCATAAGTGTGCGAACGTTGAAGGCAGCCAGTTTGAATGGTGCACGTGGTTTCAGAAAAACTGCTTCAGTACTCATATTCGGTGGTAACATACAATTTTCAACCGGACAGTGACTCGAGAACGTTTAGATACAGTCGGATTTCCACCAAAGACGAGCCGCTGTATAAGTATAAAAGAGGGTGAATAATGTGGGAAATAATAATAATAATAATAATAATAATAATAATAATAATAATAATAATAATAATAATAACGACAATAATAGTAATAATAATAGTATTAATAATGACAATAATAGTAATGATAATTATTTGAATCGACTGATTGTTTTTCGGAGCGATAAAAGTAGTTGCCAAAGACATAGAGTTCATCGTTTGTGTGTGGGCTGTGATACTGCCCGGGTGCCCAAACCGAAGCAGGTGGTTTTCTTAGGGGGCCACTCCCCGAGCCTTTGACCTAAAGGTCTAACCCACAAGGCAGTGGAGCATCGTAAGGAGATGCAGTCCCATGGTAGCCGGTGACCAAAGATTGGTTCATACGCCATTTGTTCCCGCAGGATACTGGAGCCCATGTGCACCATTGGTTTGTGATCCGGTTAAAGCGCCGGACATTCGCTTTTCGTCCTCTCATTTTCGTAAACAACACCCCCGCCACGAGAAGGCAATGAGTAGGACTTCCCTGGCAGAGGCTGTATACGCGCGGCCGTGTGAGAGTATTTCGAGAGGGAGAGCGGACTCACCCCACTCTCGGCCATACCAGGGCATTCGGGGGCTGGTAGAAGTTCAACCCCTGGAAATTTAGATGAGGAGAGTGTTATCTCTAAAAGTACGTCGACCACAAAGTTGAACAAGAATGGGGAGAGTGGACAGCCCTGACGAACACCACTTGAGGTAATCAATTCTGATGACAGTTCGCCATAAGCTCTCACTCGACCAGTTGTGTTCGAGTAGAGAGCCTTTATAAGGTTAATGTACTTCTTTGGTACTCCTTTCAGTGACAAACACTGCCATAGAACCTCACGATCAGCAGAGTCGAATGCCGCCTTAAGGTCGAGAAATACTACCATTGTGGGGCGTCTGAATGTGTGTCTGTGTTCTAGAACCTGACGTAGTGTGAATATCTGATCTATACAACCACGTCCAGGTCGAAAACCGGCCTGGTTTTCTCTAATCTGCTCTTCACGAGCTTTGATTAGGCGTCGAAGTATTATTGAAGCTAATATTTTAGACACTATATTAGTCAAACTGATTCCTCTGTGATTGTCACAAGAGGACTTTTGTCCTTTCTTATAGACTGGCACAATCAGTGATTGAGACCAGTCAGATGGGATTACGTCCAGTTCCCAAATTCTACCTATGACCTCGGTTAATCTCATTGCTAATACTGGACCACCATCCTTAAAAATCTCAGGAGTAAACCTGTCAGGGCCTGCTGCTCTCCCTCGTTTCAGATTTCCTATGGCTTTTTCAACTTCGTAAAGGGACGGAGGACCTACATTAACTTGCCATTCAGGTTGACTAGAGATCGTGGGAAACCGAAGTGTGGCTGAAGGCCAGTTGAACTGATCCCTAAAGTGTTCTGCCCATCGATCCAATCTCCTGGATTGAGAATGAATAATATGTCCATCTTTTTCTGAGATTGTTTCGCTAACGGTCGGGTTCCTAATTCCGGTTTCCTTAACGAGTCTGAACAATTGTCTGCTATTACCTACTGTCGCTGCCTTTTCCATCTCTCTTGCTTTCGCTACCCACCACTGTTCACGATCATTGCGTAGACTTCTTGTCAGCTTGCACTTAAGCTGACTCCGCTCTTCGTCATGTTCAGATCCAGATGAGATGAGTTTTCGAGCATCTACCAGTGTGGTAGATATTGCTGAGATCCAATGTTTCTCCCTAACTTTGTGGTTTACCGTACTAGCAGATATCACTGCTGTTTCCACAGCTTTTCGGATATCATTCCATGCTGCTTCGGGGTGGGTACCACATATATGGCTGCCTAACTTTTTCTAGTTGTTCCTGAAATATACTCTTAGCTTGACTATCATTAAGTAGGGTCCTAAGAGGTTTACTTGCAGCGTCTTTCCTGTGTCCAATGAGACTCAGGAATATACGCGCTCGCGCTTGAGCATGATCCGAATCTAAGCATGTGCTCCAGAATAAGCGACAGTCTTCTATCGAGCCCCTCCATCGGTGGCTGATAGCGATGTGATCTATTTGGGTCCAACGTTGGGACGAATTAGGGGGTCGCCATGTTAAAAGATGTTTTTCCTTATGTTTAAAGTTAGTATTTGCAAGGAACAGGCGGTTATCTGAGCATAGCTGCAACAGACGGTCGCCATTATCTGTTCTTTGAGCCACAACACTATAAGATCCACCCAGGTGTCTTTCCTCTCTCTTAGTTTACCTACTTGAGCATCAAAGTCACCGGCCACTATTACTACATCAGAGCGCCTAGCATTTCGGAGAAGGTCGGAAAGCTTTCTGTAAAACTCATCTTTTACATAATCTGAGCTGCAGTCAGTGAGAGAATAGGCAGAGACGACGAAGAGGCAACGACGAGTGTCCCTATCTTTCCGGATTCTTACTGTTCCGTTCAGTCGGACAGCGCACAAACGACTGTCTACTGGGATCCATTCTAAGAGAGCTAGTTCTGCCCTAGGACTCAATGCTATACCTACGCCGGCGAGGCCACGGGAAGCAGAATCAGGGCTTCCAGATACACGAAGTGTGAATCGAGTCGGTTCTTTATTTTGGCATGGTGAGGTCAAATGAATGACGCTACTTGGATCCTGTATGCGTGTTTCGGAGACGCAGCACACATCGATGGCGCGAGATTCTAAAGTTTTAGCTAAGGAAGCCTGTTGTCCTATTTGGCAAAGTGTTCGTACGTTAAAAGCTCCTACGTGTAGTTTAGAGCGTGGTTTCAGGAGACCAGGAATGGCGTTCCACGTACTCAAATCGTTTGCCCTAGCGGGGCGAGGTGATAAAGAGACGTGAGGAGGGTTAGTCATGGAGATAAGAGAGGTATTAGGAGGTGTAGGAAGGATTTGAATGTGACCAACTTGGTCTCTTGTGCTGTTACGGGTATGAGGGCTGATGTCACTTCCCGGCTGCCCACACCGTGGAAGGGTATTTCTTGAGGAACCTGAAAAGGAAATTGGATTAGTGTTGGTCTTGACGACCTGGGAGCGTGACCGCAGAGCCCAAGGGACAACTGCTTGAGGCCGGTTGCGCACGGCCTTTTTGTGAAAGGTTTTTGACGTGTTAGCTCCGTTCTTCAAAGGGCCTTACCGCTGGAGACGGAAATCCGTGAGGTAAGGTGAGGTGTGACATTTTTAGGGTCGACCTTTTCTAACCCCTTCCTTCCTTGTGGGAAGGCAGCATCGCTGTCATGCTGGTTGTCCGATGGAAACACCTTACTGCTGTCACACCCCTCTACAGTCAGCAGTACGACTTCGCCCTCAGACCTTGAGTTGCTGCTTTTAGTCTTACCGTTCACCAATCGACCTGCCTGGCATGGTAGAACCTAGAGGAACATATGTTCCAGCCAATATAGCTCGGTTGGGTCATCACGATAGGCAAGCCCAACCACCGCGTCAAGGTAGCAGCTTCGATCGGGCTCCAGTATCCTGATGGAACAAATGGCATATGAAGCAATTACTGGTCACCGGCTACCATGAGACTGCATGTTGTTACGTTTCTCCACTACCATGTGGGTCAGACCTGTGGGTGGAAGGCTCAGGGTGTGACCCCTTAAGGAAACCATCTGCTTCAGTTCGGGCAAGTGGGGAGTATCCCAGTCCTCATACAAATCGAATGATTTTGTGACGCATATCTGTTTGGTGCCTCTTTGTACCGATGATTATGTGTTTAAATAATAACAATTAATAACTCTAGAATCTTATTTAAAAATTATAGGTATACTAACGTTTTTATTGTGGTCCGTACTTTCATCCACCCTTATTATTTGAAATATAGTTCTTGTAGAACGCGTTGACAACTTCACATATCTTGGAAGTCTGATCAGCCCTAATGAGTTGGTATCGGACGAAATCTCAGCACGGATTCGAAAAGCTCGTTTGGCTTTTGCCAACTTACGTCACCTTTGGCGAAGGCGAGATATCCGTCTATCAATAAAAGGACGAGTATACTGCGCGGCAGTCCGTTCTGTTTTAATTTACAGCAGCGAAACATGGCCATTAAGAGTAGAAGACACTCGTAAGCTATTAGTATTTGACCACAGATGCCTTAGAAATATTGCTGGCGTCTGTTGGGATCAACGGGTAAGTAATAGTGAGGTTAGACGCAGGGTATTAGAGAATGATGGTAAATCAGTTGATGGGGTTGTGAATCTTCATCGACTGAGATGGTTGAGCCACGTGTTACGTATGCCTGAACACCGATTACCACGATGTGCAATGCTATCCGGTATTGGAGATGGTTGGAAGAAAGTTAAGGGTGGCCAAACCAAAACGTGGCATCAGTGCTTGAAGACACTAACTTCTAGTCTGAGCCATGTTGGTAGATGCAGACTACTTGGTTGGGGTCCGTGTGACTATCGTAACCAATGGTTGGAGACTCTTGGTGACATGGCTCAGAATCGATCACAATGGCGTCGGTGTATACACTCCCTGTCTTCCCTTAAACTATGAGATTAAAATCGCTTCATATCTTTCTTTCTACGAACCAAGTCTTTCTTCTTGTATTATATCTCTATATGCAATCTTTCTCTTATATATTACCACCTTTGACATAACCACTGCTATGAATCCGGTGTTCATCTTGTTGTGCTGATGCGGTATGGCAACCTGGATCGATGCACATATGTGCCTGGTCCTACGTTATAGCTGACTGTCTGACTGTAGAACTGTGTTCTAATTTGGGACTTGTTTAATAAACATTACATGGTATAATTTACATAATGAATTGATTCTGTTCTCATTTAGTTAACGTTGTTCTACCCACTTTTATTTTCCAGCATCTATTTTATTGAGATCATTTATTGGTTATGTATCTGGTGAAAATATGGATTGGTTGAATGATTCTAATTATCAAAGTGATTTGCCTTGTTCAGATCTATTCAGTCAAACTGTAAATGTGAATCCAGCTCACCATAGAAATGGAGAGGATTGTTATTCTGACAGCAATGTAAGCTAAATACTCGGTTTCAATTTATCTTAGTATTATTTCTATTTATATTATTTACTTTTTCTTCCAGTATCTTGATGTAAACTACTGATTTTTGGTATTTCAGATGTTTTTAGGTAATAAGTCTATATATTTTTACGTAACTTATTCTAATCGCCAATAAATTCATGATATAGTCTCATGATGAATACTACTCATCAGTAGTACGTAGCGGAAACGAGTGTGGAGGTTTCTACAGTCGATAACTGAAGAGAAGAGTCCCAGGAGGTCAAAAAGTATGGGTATGCAAAGTACTTTGAAGACCAGAAGAAAGGCAAGAGAAGACAGTTTGTAATCAACTTGGATTACAGAGCACAAAACAGGATACAAATGGATGACTAAAGACTATTTGTACATATTCCATAAGCGTCCTGTAATTTCACTTAGTAAACATTCCTTTTGCCTAGCGCGTTGTTCTGTAGTCTACCTGACCTACTTACAAACTAATCTGCACTTTATTTAGCGCTAGGTAAGAAGTAGGCATGCATAGTGGTATCAAATCAGAGCGACTGTTTATTTTACTTTGACTCTCTTTAAGTGATCCTTAACTAATACTGTTTTTAGATAGTTTCAGGCAAATGACAGGCAGCCGTAAACTTGATTTTCGTACTAGTTGGCACCGGTCACCAAAAAGTAACCTCACTGTTGAGGGAATGTTTACTCCTAGTTCAATTTAAACTCATATCTTACTTACTTACTTACTTACGCCTGTTACTCCTCGTGAAGGAGCATAGGCCACTCACCAGCATTCTCCATCCAACCCTGTCCTGGGCAATCCTTTCTAGCTCCGTCCAGTTGTAATTCATCCTTTTCATATCTGCTTCTATAATCCGACGCAATGTGTTCTTTGGCCTTCCTCTTTTTCGCCTCCCTTCAGGGTTCCAAGTTAGGGCTTGCCTCGTGATGCAGTTTGACGGTTTGCGTAATGTATGTCCTATCCATTTCCATCGTCTTTTCCTAATTTCTTCTTCAGCTGGAAGTTGGTTTGTTCTCTCCCACAGAAGGCTATTGCTGATGGTATCCGGCCAGTGGATGTTGAGTATCTTGCGTAGACAGCTATTTATAAATACTTGTACTTTCTTGATGTGGTTGTTGTAGTTCTCCAAGTTTCAGCTCCATACAGTAGAACTGCCTTGACGTTCGTATTGAAGATTCTCACTTTGATATTGGTTGAAAGTTGTTTTGAGTTCCATATGTTCTTCAATTGTAGGAATGCGACCCTTGCTTTGCCGATCCTCGCCTTTACGTCTGCATCTGAACCTCCTTGTTCATCGATGATGCTTCCTAGGTATGTGAAGGACTCTACATCTTCCAGAGTTTCGCCATCAAGAGTGATTGGATTGCTGTTCTCCGCTTTGAATTTGAGGACCTTGGTTTTCCCTTTGTGTATGCTGAGGCCTACTGATGCAGAGACTGCTGCTACACTGGCTGTCTTCATCTGCATCTGTTCGTGTGTACGTGATAGGAGGGCTAGGTCGTCTGCGAAGTCCAAATCGTCTAATTGATTCTGAGTTGTCCATTGTATTCCGTGTTTTCCTTCAGATATTGAGGTCTTCATAATCCAGTCGACCACCAGAAGAAAGAGGAAGGGAGAGAGTAAACAGCCTTGTCTGACTCCAGTCCTTACTTGGAATGCATCTGTCAGCTGTCCTCCATGCACTACTTTGCACTGTAGTCCGTCGTATGAGTTCCGGATAATGTTGACAATCTTCTCAGGAACTCCGTAGTGTCGAAGAAGTTTCCATAATGTCCTCCTATCTACACTGTCGAATGCCTTTTCATAATCAATGAAGTTGATGTATAGTGATGAGTTCCACTCCACTGATTGTTCGACGATGATCCGTAGTGTTGCAATTTGGTCTGTGCACGACCGATCCTTACGGAATCCAGCTTGTTGATCTCGAAGTTGGGCGTCTACTGCATCCTTCATCCGGTTCAGCAACACTCTGTTGAAGACTTTCCCTGGTATTGACAGTAGTGTAATGCCTCTGTAGTTTTCACATTTGCTCAGATCTCCTTTCTTTGGAATCTTGACGAGGTGTCCTTCTTTCCAGTCCATTGGCACTTGTTCCTCCTCCCAAATCTTTTTGAATAGAAGGTACAGCATGCTTGTGGTTGCTTCGATGTCTGATTTCAGTGCTTCAGCTGGTATGTTGTCGGGTCCTGCTGCTTTCCCGTTCTTGATTTGTCTGACGGCCATTCTAATTTCTTCCGTCGTTGGTGGGTTGACATCTATAGGAAGATCTATGTGTGCTGCTTCGATGTCCGGTGGATTCATTGGAGCCGGCCTATTCAGGAGTTCCTCGAAGTATTCCACCCATCTGTTACGCTGATGTTGAATTTCGGTGATTGGCTTGCCTTCTTTGTCTTTGACCGGCCTCTCTGGTTTACTGTATTTCCCTGCTAGTTTCTTCGTTGTATCGTGAAGCTGTTTCATATTTCCTTCTCTAGCAGCTTTTTCTGCCGTCGTTGCTAGTTCTTCCACGTATTTCTTCTTGTCGGCTCTAATGCTCCTCTTCACTTGTTTGTTTGCTTCTATGTATTCAGCTTGTGCTTGACTTTCTCTGCTCGTGTTCGGCTGTTGTTAATTGCTGCCTTCTTGTTCTTCCTTTCTTTGATCTTGTCCAGTGTTTCTATAGAGATCCATTCCTTATGATGGTGTTTCTTTAGGCCCAGAACCTCTTGACACGTTGAAGTTAATGCTTCCTTGATGCCTTTCCAGTTGTCCTCCATACTAGTTTCTTCTTCTTTCAGTAGATCTTGTAAGGCTTGGAACCTGTTGTTGAGAGCTATCTTGAATTCATTGAGTTTGTCAGTATCTCGAAGGAAGGCTGTATTGAACCTTTGTAGTGCTGTTTGTCCACTTGTCCAGTTCTTTTTTAGCTTCAGTTTTAAATTGGCTACAACTAGGTGGTGATCTGAAGCTACGTCAGCACCTCTCCTGGTTCTTACATCTTCCATTGTCCTTCGGAATTTTTTGTTGATGCAAATATGATCTATTTGGTTCTCTGTAGTGTGGTCCGGTGAGATCCATGTAGCCTTGTGTATACGCTTGTGTGGAAATATTGTGCCTCCTATGACCAATTTGTTGAATGCACATAGATTTGCAAATCTTTCTCCATTTTCGTTTCTCTGTCCCAGTCCATGTCGTCCCATGATATCTTCATATCCGGTGTTGTCTATTCCGACTTTGGCATTTAGATCTCCCATCAGAATAGTTAGGTCCTTTCTTGGCATTTCTCAATGATTGACTGCAGCCGCTCGTAGAACTGATCTTTAATGTCGTCGTTGCTATCATTGGTGGGTGCATAACATTGGATAATATTCATTAAGATCCCCTCCTTCTTTGTTTTGAATGATGCTTTGATGATTCTGGATCCGTGAGACTCCCATCCTACAAGTGCATTTCGTGCTACTTTGGACAGCATAAGAGCGACTCCCTGAGTGTGTGGAGCATTTTCCTCTTCGTGACCGGAGTATAGCAGCATCTCTCCCGTAGCTAGCCTTTTCTGTCCAGCTTGGGTCCAGTGGGTTTCGCTGATTCCCAGTACTGCTAAGTTGTATCTCCTCATTTCCATTGCTATTTGACTGGTCTTCCCGGTTTCCCACATTGTTCGAACGTTCCATGTACCTATAAAAATTTTTGCTCTGGTTGTTAGAAGGGGCATCGGCCTCGTGGCTTCCGAAGGAACTCGGCTTTCACCATGAAGCGTCATAATTCTTCTAACTGAAGACCTTCTAACTCCCAGGGCAGAGTTTAAATGGTTTGAATAATTTTTTCTGGTAAGCGTTTTTTTAGCGAGTTAGTTTTCTACGGGATGGGGACGCTAACCCCATGCCCAACCCTCCTCCTTTACCCGGGCTTGGGACCGGCAGTAACCCTATTAGAGCTACAGGCGGAGTTCAGTGTTAAATTCCATAGGATGCGTCAGCCAACGAATACCAACCAACACTAAACCTAGGTCCTTGGCTTCCTGATGATGGTTTCTAACCAATTAACTTAGTAGTATATGACGTCAACTAGTCATTTAGACTAGTGACCTTATTACGATCGATCATTAGAATTGTCAATACAAATGACTGCAAAAAGATGATTATTGGTCACCACTCAGTAATCATTCAGAGCTAATCAACTCTACTTAATGCTTTCCATGAAAGTTTCCAGTTCTAGCTGATTGATTAATCCATGTGTTTATGCTGTGTTTGTGTACTATTTGACTGTACTATTCACTAATAGATTTCTTGAATTTTCCTCACTTTTTATTAACTAAATGAAAATATTCTCTCATTTTATTGTACAGTCTAATCTGTATTCGTATAACTATATTAAATGGATGTTTTTTCAGTGAAGTGTTTATATCTGTTACAAATAGGTTTGTAAATCCGACTAATCACAATTAAACACAGAACTTCAAATATTGTCCAAAACTAGAGATAATCTTCTGAGATATGTTTATTCTGGCGAAATGAGTGCTATGGAAGCTCTTTAATATTTCTGAAAGTATTATTATTAATTATTAGGATTGTTGTAATTATCTCGATAAAATTAAGTTCAACCGGGTCTGTTGTGAGATAATAACTCATTGAAGACAATAGTGGACGTATCAGTCAGTCAGTCAGCTACAACGTAGGACCAGGCACATATATGCATCGGTCCAAGTTGCCATACCGCATTAGCACAAGAAGATGGACACCGGATTCATAAAAGTAGGTTATTCAGAGGTGGTAATATATAAAAGAAAGATTGCAATAAGGATATAGTACAGGAAGAAAGAATTAGTTAGTAGAAAGAAAGATATGAAGTGATTTTAATCTCACACCATAAGGGAAGACAAAGAGTGTATATACCTACACCATTGTAATCGATTATGTGTCATGTCACCCAGAGTCTCCAACGATTGGTTACGATAGTCGTGCGGACCGCAACCAAGTAGTTTGTATCTACCGGCACGATTTAGGTCAGAAGTTAATGACCTCAAGGACCAATGCCACGTTTTGGTTTGGCCACCCCTAACTTTCTTCCAACCATCCCGAACACCTGTTAGCATTGCGCGTCATGGTAATCGGTGTTCAGGCATACGTAACACGTGGCTCAACCTTCTCAGTCGATGAAGATTCACAACCCCATCAACTGATTTACCATCATTCTCTAATACCCTGCGTCTAACCTCACTATTACTTACCCGTTGATCCCAACAGACGCCAGCAATATTTCTAAGGCATCTGTGGTCAAATACTAATAGCTTACGAGTGTCTTCTACTCTTAATGGCCATGTTTCGCTGCTGTAAATTAAAACAGAACGGACTGCCGCGCAGTATACTCGTCCTTTTATTGATAGACGGATATCTCGCCTTCGCCAAAGGTGACGTAAGTTGGCAAAAGCCAAACGAGCTTTTCGAATCCGCGCTGAGATTTCGTCCGATACCAACTCATTAGGGCTGATCAGACTTCCAAGATAAGTGAAGTTGTCAACTCGTTCGACTACTTCACTCCCTATCATTAGTTCAGGTGTTGACGCAGACCAGTCCTGAAGCAACAACTTGCATTTAGCGGGAAAGAAGCGCATTACAAACATTCTGGCATTGTTGCTTAGTGCTACCAAAAGACTGCATTTTATCAGTGTCTTCACCAAACAGGACTTTATCATCTGCGTATTCTAAGTCGATAAGTGGACCTCCTGGATGGAGATCAATACCCGATAATTCAGTCGACGAGAATGTTGTTTCCATCAATAGGTCTATGTTGAAGTTAAACAAAAATGGAGAAAGTGGACAACCTTGACGGACACCACCTGAGGTTGCAAAAGCAGATGACAGTTCGCCATAAGCTCTGACTCGACTAGTAGTGTTCGAGTAAAGAGCCTTCACAAGGTTTATGTACTTCTGAGGTACGCCTTTCAATGACAGACACTGCCACAGAATCTCGCGGTCTACCGAGTCAAATGCTGCTTGTAAATCAAGAAAGACCACCATTGTCGGACGCCGATAAGTATACCTATGTTCTAGAACCTGACGAATGGTGAATATGTGGTCGATGCAGCCACGACCAGGTCTGAAGCCAGCTTGATTCTCTCGTGTTTGCAGTTCACGAGTCTTATTTAGGCGTCTGATAATTATCGAGGCTAGTATTTTAGATACTATATTAGTTAAACTAATCCCTCTATGGTTGTCACAGGATGATTTTGACCCTCTCTTGTATATTGGGACGATAAGTGAATGTGACCAGTCAGATGGAATAACGTCTAATTCCCAGATCTTAACTAAAATATTAGTCAACCTAATCGCTAAAATTGGACCACCATCCTTAAAGAGCTCTGGAGCCAATCCATCTGGACCAGCTGCCCTTCCTCGTTTCAGATTAACTATAGCCTTTTGAACTTCTGCTAGAGTTGGGGGACCTACTTCAATGTTCCATTCACACTGTCTGGGAATGGAGGGTAGTTGTAGAGTAGCTGAAGGCCAGCTGAACTGCTCCTTAAAATGTTCCGCCCATCGTTCTAAACGTCTGGACTGAGAGCAGATGAGGGTGTCGTCTTTTTCCGAAATAGTCTCACTTACACTTGACTTATTAGTTCCAGTTTCTTTTATTAGTCTGTAAAGCTGTCTTGTGTTCCCTATAGTCGCCGCCTTTTCCATCTCTTTTGCTTTCGCTGCCCACCACTGCTCACGGTCGTTCCTTAGACTTTTGCTTAACCTAGATCTGATTTGTTGTCGCTCTTCATCGTGTTCAGAGCCTGATGGGATGAGTTTAAGAGAATCCATCAGTGCAATTGACCTTGAGGAAATCCACTGGTTCTTTGTAACCCTGTGGTTTAAATCACTGATAGATGTCACTGCTGTTTCCACAGCTGTTTGTATAGCTTTCCAAGCAACATCTGGGTCAGCCTCGTTTTCAGAACTACCTAAGTGTGACCTCAGTTGTTCCTGGAACCTACTTTTGGTTTTCTCGCTACTCAATTCAGTTCTAATGGGTCTTTTTCCTGTTGCTTTTTTGCGTCCAGTGAGGCGCAAGCAGATGCGTGCCCGTATTAGGGCGTGGTCGGAGTTCAAGCAGGTACTCCAGAATGAGCGACAATCTTCTACCGACCCTCTCCAACGATGACTGATGGCAATATGGTCTATTTGAGTCCATCGTTGGTTTGGTGTAGGGGGTCGCCATGTTAGACGATGTCTCTCCTTATGCTTAAAATTTGTTTGTTAAAAATAAACGATTGTCTGAGCACAGTTGCAGCAGACGATCACCATTATCTGTTCGTTGTGCCGGAATACTAAAATACTCACCTAAATGCTTTTCTGTTTGGTTTAAACTACCTATCTGGGCATTAAAGTCACCTGCTACGAGTACTATGTCTGAACGTTTAGCTTTCTGAGAAAGTTCAGATAGCTTTCTGTAAAATTCATCTTTCACTTCATCTGAGCTGCAGTCGGTGGGAGCGTAGGCAGAAACGTCAAAACGGCAACGACGTGTGTCCCTATCCTTCCGAGTTCTTACGGAGCCGTTTAGCCGAACAGCACATAAACGACTGTTGACGAGGATCCACTCTAACAGTGCTTGTTCCGCCCTCATGCTTAGTGCTATGCCTACTTCTGCCAGTCCACGAGAGCTGGCCATCGGGTCACCAGATACACGGAGGGTGTATCTCGTTGGCTCTCCGTTTTGCCGAGGTGAGGTCAAGTGAATGACCACACTGGAATCCTGTATGCGTGTTTCAGAGACACAGCATTCATCAATGCTACGAGATTCTAGGGTTTTAGCCAAGGAAACCCGCCGACCGATCTGACATAGGGTTCGTACGTTGAAGGCTCCAATGTATAGTTTGGAGCGAGGTTTCAGTAGACCTGGGACAGTGTTTTGAGCACTAGAATCGTTGGCTATGGTGACACTTGAGGAGGAAGCCGAAAGAGGAAGTTTAGAGGTGAAAGTCGATGTAGGAGGAATATTAGGAAGTGAAGACGGAGGTTGATTATGAAAACAGTGGTCTTGAGTGCTGTTAGAGGTATGAGGGCGGTTATCACTTCCCGGCTGCCCACACCGTGGAAGGGTTGTTCTGGAGGTACTTGAAAAGGAAATTGGATTAGAGGTGGTTTTAGTGATCTGAGAGCGTGACCGCAGTGCCCAAGGGACAACTGCTTGAGGTCGGTCACACATGACTTTTTTGTGGGCAATTTTTGTTGTAGCTCCGTACTTGTTGAGACCTTACTGCCGGAGACGGATATCCGTGGGATAAGGCGAGGTGTGCATTTTTAGGGTCGACCTTTTCTAACCCCACCCCTCCTTGTGGGAAAGCAGCGTCGCTGTCATGCTGGTTGTCTGAAGGAAACACCTTACTGCTGTCACACCTCTGTACAGTCAGCAGTACAACTTCGCCTTCGGACCTTGGGTTTGTTGCTTTTAGTCTTACCGCTCTTCAACCAACCTGTCTGACATAGTAGGACCTTGAGGAACGGTTGTTCCAGCCAGTATAGCTCGGTTGCTTCATCACGATAGGCAAGCCCGACCACCACGTCAAGGTAGCAACAATGGTCGGGAAAGTATTAGCCCAGCCGGGATGTGTGGCTCAATTTCGTAGATTGGTTGAAATTAGGCATTAACACCACTGGATGCTGGCTCAGTGGTCTAGAGGTTAGGCGTTCGCGTGAGAGACCGATAGGTGGTAGAGAAGATTTGTAGCTCAGGTGGATGATTTTGATGGAGTTTTGTTCTCTGAGCTGGATGGTTTGGTCGTGGAGCTCTCATCGTTCTTCTGAACGACATCGTCAGCACAAACGTCTATCTGAAGACCAGTAAATCCTTGGTTCGAATCCGGGGGAGCGGGGTTGTGGGTACGCACTGCTGAGGAGTCTCACAATAAAACGAAACGACCATCCAGTGCTTTCAGGTTTTCCATGGTGGTTTAGCTTCAATTGACTCATGATCTCAATTATTGAAATTGACCAATATATGTTAATTTTCCGTATGCTAATGCGATTTTGATCATGTTATGTTTTCTATAGGCTGTAGCATATTGGCCAATTTCACCTATTAACATATGAGAAAATTTTATAAATTCAGTTAAATTAACTTATAATATTCAAATCATAGGTGTTACTGAATAAACTCAGATTTATTGATTTTTTTCTGGTTAGTTGTTGAAATCCTTAATCCGAATCATCAATGGACATTCCATTTCATGTATTTATCTAATAATATAGGTCAGGTTCGATGTAAAAATCACACTATGACAATTTGTTTCCATCTGACTATCCAATTTATGAAGAATAATAATAATTGATATTGGTTTCAATTCATTGGATCTAATATTTTGATTAAGCTTTTGCCATAGATTTCAGTAAGTAGAGTTCAACCACATTGTTAGTCGACTAAATTTGGAATTGTAAACCACTGGATGCTCTTTCATTGAACTAAATAGTATCGGACTCTCCTCAAAGTTGAAACTTTCGATGCCTGGCGGGTTCTTTTTTTTGCACGTATGATGAGGAATCTTATGTTAAGATGAAGTAGACGTCCGATAATCCCTGGTTTATGACGATTGTCCAGCTAAATTCTTGTTGAAAGAAAAACACTAGTTTAATATTTTTCACAAACCTCTTCCTCATCGATTTTGTTTACTATTATGTTTTCTTTCGTTTTTAATTTCATTTCACCTAGGTATCAACTAAGTATAACGATACATCTTCGTCTATAATTTGGCGTGTCAAAGATTATAAATCTCTATACAATCTAATTACACAATTACCACGTGTCTCTCCTGTACAAGCTGTTTATCTTCATGTGTTACATAGTAATCTACATGCAAGACGTTTCTATGAAAATCGTGGTTTTATTTTTCTTCATACACGTCCCGGTTGTTATACAATTGATGGTAGATCTGCTGATGGTTGTACATATGTTCTTCATACAAATGGTGGATATTTAGATTGTAAACCAATGTATCCTTGTTCAAGTTTATTAGTACTATTAGTAGTATTATTATTGATAGTTTGGTTACCAGTTAGTCAAATTCGGGGTGTTAGTTCAAAAGTGATACACTCAATAAGCTGAAATTTTTTAGTTACTTCTCTAGCGATTAGACCCATCTCTCCCATTGGAACAAGATAAACTTTCATCCTTCTTATTTAATCTTGTTAAGGTTTGTCATCAAATATGATTACCCAGTAATCCGTCCATATTGTTGATATTTTCTGTCATTACTCTTATCTTGGTACACAAGCGTTTTCTAATTTACAATCTATAATTTCCTATTATATTGAGATACTACCTTCTTCATGATACTTAGAATTATTATTTAATCTACATACCGATGTTAGCCATATAAATTGTTTCTACTTGTGGCATATTACTTTGTATTAGTGAGTAGTCTATTTTCTGCTTTGTAATTATTTTACACCAATTTGTCATTTCAGTAGTTTATTCATAAAATATGTTTTATTCTGGTGTACAGGTTATTAAAAATTTTGGAATTAAAGTAGCAGTGCATCTGAAATTATAAATTGAAGGAAAAGTAATACCTTTCAGTAAATAATTAAACGGGATTACTTCCCTAATTTTGAGGGATACTGGTAATGTATAAGTTAGAAATGCGACTCGACTTACTCAACGGAAGCAGAAAAAAACTGTATTCAAGTATGTGATCCATTTGTTAAGTATCGACTCTTTAGAACTCTCGCTTATGTTTCGTTTCCATGAATGATCTTAGATAAGTATATCAGTATATCCAATTCAACATGTCTAAAACTATTTCAATGTTATATCCCCTGAACTGGGTGATCCAAAGATGAGACTGTTTTTGTTTTACTAAACAATACCACCAGTATAGGCTTTGAAAGGAGTTATTGAAATATCTCTAACATTTTGTTCTGTCAATGTAAGATTTAAGTGGTTGCTGTCCATAATTGTGTTGTCTTTGTCTAAATATTCATACTTTTCGGTGACCTGATATCTGACCTCATAGTTATTGATCACTTTCCTTATTGGTTGATGAATTAAGGTTATCTCAGTATGTCTACTTATTCAATAAATACAAAGCCTTTCAAGATTCTCTTTTTCGTTCGCGTCTATTGAGTGTTTTAGCATTTTGTCACTTGAACTTGTTTCAATAGTTACCCACATGCGTTTATGTAAGTGTGACTCGGATACACGGAGTTTAAAAAAACCAAAGGAGATATTCATTCCGCCCCCGTGTAATATGTTTCCTAGTTGTTTCAGCTTATCTTGTAGATGGTATTGGGTTTTTTATCACTTGCTATTGCGTCCTTTGCGTTTGTTAATGTGGATTGTAGAAAGTTTATCAGTTCATGGAAAAGTTCCGCTTATTTCTAGCAATGTGCTTATGATCTTCGAGATATTCTTCATGAAATGTAAAGAATTATGAAATATATTTGTTATGTTCTTATGGCCTGTTAGTAATCACTTGGTACGATTGCCAATTAGAACACTGACTTACTGACCGGACCACTGACGTATAAACCAGTACGAGCAGTCTATAGTCAACTCGGAGTTCTTATTGGTCCACCGAGATGGTAGCTTCTCGCGTAACCCAACCGGTTTAGTTCAGAACACCAATACTAGCCTCCTTTATATGAACCATGTATTTCAGATATACTTGGTTTATATACAAGCAAATCAGACCTCATCATTCCATAGAATAGAAAATAACAATCATACATAATCAAGCCCAAAAGTGGCTGTGATTGTGAAAGACTGTTACTATTAAATTGGCAATAACTTAAGAATAGTATATCGTATAATAGTAGCCATTAAATCAAATATAAACTTACAATCAAAGGAATATGAATATACATGTAATATGGTTACTTAATAGTTATGTAATAAGAATATATGTGATAATAGTCTGTAAATAGATCCTAGCAGTTACCATTCACTTATCCTTCGTCCGGATATTGATATTGTATGCTATAAATAACATCTCCAAACCCTAATCTTCCCGATTACTGCTTATACTCTTACTACCTCTACCACTACGGGATTTGAATCGACAACTGCATCTCTGTGCTAATGTAGTATGGCAACTCGAACGGATGTAAGTACGTACGAAGTTCTACGTTGTTACTGACTGACTGAAACATATTCTCAACATATTTGGTTTTGTGGAATAACATGTTTATGTAAGTAAATACATTCATTACACTGAAGAAAATAGAGCGTTTACAAATTGTCTACTATTTTTTTCTTTGGAGTTTTTGGACATTAACAAATCGTTATTTGATGATGATCAATTCTGATGTTTAAATTGCTAATACTGGTCAGAGTCCATTTAATAATGACATAAAAGTACTTTATTTAAATCTAGGAAGGTCAATTATAATCGTTTTAATTTTAGGACTAAATAACCAACTACCTCAGAAACAATATATAATGATTGTCCGGTAATTAAAGAATTTAATGTACAGATCAATGACAGGTTCTAACTATCTTTTACATATTTTGATTTGAATAGGTGATTGATATTAACAGTGTGGCATCAATCCTTGAAGTCATTAACTTCTAGTCTTAGCCATGTTGGTAAATGTAGACTATTTGATTAGGGTCCGTGCGACAATCGTAACCAATGATTGGAGACTGGATGACAGGGCTCAAAAATGATCACAGTGGCGTCGGTATATACATTCTTTGTCTTCCTTTAATCTATGAGATTAAAATTGCTTTATATCTTTTTTTCTTCCTGTACTATGTCCTTATATGCAATCTTTCTTTTATATATTACCACTATTGAAGTAACTACTTCTATGAACTTGGTGTTGATCTTGTTGTGCTGATGCGGTATGGCAACTTGGACCGATGCATATATGTGCCTGGTCCTACGTTGTAGCTGACTGACTGATTATCAGCCATCACACCTGAAATGTAACATAAAACAGAGTAATTTAACCTGTACTTGAAACTACTTATATTAGAAAATAAAAGCAGTCAAATTCATCTCACTGATGAATTTCAGTAAAAGTACTGATCACTAACATTAGAAATCATAATTTGACTGAAAGTGATCAGGCTGTTGGTTTCGAATGAGTGTATTATTTCTTTTTAAAATATTAAATCTTTCCAAAGTTGTTTATTACATATGTAATTTACTGCCCCCAAATGCCCTGCTACGGCTGAGGATGAAGAGGGTCAGCTATCCCTCTCGAAATACTCTGACATGGCGACGTGCATACAACCACTCCCAGGGAAGTCCTACTCATCGCCTTCTCGCGGCGGGTGTGTTGATTACGAAAGTGAGAAGATGAAAAGTTAGTATCTGGGGCTTTAACGGGGTTAGTTAATACAGAGAGTTCACGTAGGGTAGTTGGTAAACCTGATTCCAAACCAATGGTGCACATAGACTCCAGTATCTTGATGGAACAAATGGCATATGAAGCAATTGTTGGTCACCGGCTACCATGAGACTGCATCTTTTTACGTTGCTCCACTACCATGTGGATCAGACCTGTGGGTGGAAGGCTCATGGTGTGGCCCCCTAAGGAAACCACTTGCTTCGGTTTGGGCACGTGGGGAGTATCTCAGTCCTCATACAAATCGAATGATTTTGTGACGCATATCTGTTTGCTGCCTCTATTTCATGATTTTAAACAATATAACCATAGTCATTTATGATACATTAATTAATTATGAATATTTATTGCTAATCCTTAACTCTCATTTTTATCATGTTAAGAAGTTATAATTTAAATACTATATATGAATATCTTAATGATCATTCAATATTATGTTATCTAAGATGGATTATTCGTTTATTCTCTCAATCAGGATATACCATTTTGTATAAATTACGTCGATTTTCACATTATCTTTATGATACTACCCCTTTAATGTTTTTAAATTATCATACATATAATCATCAAAGACAGGGATATATCAATCATATTTCTTCGTCGTCTTCTTCTTCGCATCCAACTTCATCTTGTTTACCGCGTCATTTCTCTGAATGTTCTTTTCCAGATACCACATCAACATCATCATCATCATTATGTGTTTCTCCAGATTCAGCTGTTCTAGATAATGAGTAATATCCTTTCCATTTACTTCATTTAATGCATAAAATTATTTAAATCATAATAGTACACATATATGTACATATTGTTAAGTTTTTTTAGTCTATTAAGAGATTTAGTTTGAAGATTCTTATTGGATTGATCTTCATTTTGTTTTGGACACCTATTATGTTCTTAGATACCTTCTTTATTCATTTCCTGTTAGTTGTTTTCTTTAATCTCCTTAGACAATTAAACAAATGATTTTGTATATTTGTAGATTATCCTACATTAAATCATAATGTAACACTTAGATATATTCAACCCTAGTAAAGACTGTTACTTCTTCATTTACTTTACTACCTTTACAACATAATTGTATTAAATAATTGATCATAATGATACTGTGATTATGTTTGTTAATTTTGTTACTTACTTACTTATGCCTGTTACTCCTCGTTGAGGAGCATAGGCAACCCTTTCTCGGGCAATCGTTTCTAGTTCTTTCCAGTTGTTATTCATTTTTTTCATATCTTCTTTAATTTTGTCACCTTTCGAAAATTGTCAAACTTTGATTTGTTAATGATGTTTACTCTTTTTTTCTTTGTTGTTGTTAAATTGTTCGTATTCTTCATTTCATTATGTTTATTTTGTTATCATTCATAACTCATAAATACCACGTTGTTCAACGTATTGTAAAATAAAACTAACTGACCTGACAAGCGTTTTAGTATATATGTATGTATGTATGTATGGATGAATGGATAATACAATGGGATTGTCACGATTGATTGATCACTGGGTGGTGATCAGTGTCATATGTGTCAAGTTCTTCTTAGTACAGATCGAATGTTATCGACCATGTTGCAATGTGGCTACCAGTCTAGGTGACTCGACACTGCGTGCACTATATATTGAGATTAGATGGTGATTGGAGGTAGTCGACAGGAAACCCTGGACCCGGGTTTCGTGCTACTTGGCACTCGTCAAAAGGTGTACCTGTAATCTTGAGGGAACTGGTGCTCCCTGGCGGTTTCGATCCCGTGTCACCCAGCTTCACAGTCAGAGACGTTATCACTGGCCTATGCGGGCCCGGTGGTCAATCAATTGTGATTACATCTCAGTTCTACAGGAGGTCAGTCGCAGCCCGGGTAGCTCAGTGGAAACGTGTCTGACTGTGAGGCTGGGCGACACGGGATCGAAACCGCCAGGGAGCACCAGTTCCCTCAAGATTACAGGTACACCTTTTGACGAGTGCCAAGTAGCACGAAACCCGGGTCCAGGGTTTCCTGTTGACTACCTCCAACCACCATACAATGGAATTGTCCTTATCTATCTTTTCTTCTCATTTTAATGTACATAGTATAAAAAATAAGGAGATTCTTCAAACCTTCCTATTTCAAGCATCTGACTAGCTCCAAATAGGAAGAAATGCGCGTCCTAAATTCCACTGTTAGACACCCTCCATCTTTGCTTATAACGTTTATGATTTAAGGCAATATCGAGGCAACTCGCACATAATGCACTTATACCATTAAGAGACTTATCTATTACAATCCTAAACATCAATAGGAAGATTCGAATAACCAATACAAAATGAACTTTCCTATTTCAATTTAAATCATGAATCAGAAATGTATTTACTTACGCTTTTTACCTCTCATGGAGCATAGGTTGCTCACCAGGATTCTCCAACCAACTATTTTTGGGTTCTCCTTTCTAGTTGTTTACAATTGCTATTGATTGTTCTGATGTCTACCTCTAATTCCCAAAACGATGTATTTTCTTAATCTTCCTTTTTTCACTTCGCCTTCAGGATTCCAAGTTAGAGTTTGCTTTATGGTGCAATTTGATGATTTCCTCAATGTATGTTCTATCCACATTAAACGTCTTTTCTTAATGTCCTCCTTAGCTGGAAGTTGTTTTGTTTTCTGCCACAACAGATGAATAAAAAGCAATACAATATTTGAAGTACATCTCATTTTGATCATTTAAATTGTTTATTGTAGTATATGATCATATGAAAGGTAATAGCATTCAGTGTATTCAATGTGAATAGATCCACCTTTTTAATAATGAATATCAGTTGTTGTTGTTGTTATTGTTGTTCGTTGCTAGGTGATACGGAAATAAGGTTATTCAACTGTTGTATGATATAGTTATACTTTTTTATTATCGTTCTTTTAGGTAGTAATAACAATAATATATCTTTCAGAGTAATATAGAAATCGATGAGTATTTTTTAAAAGAAAAAAAGAACTATTCCTTTAACATTTCAATTCTGTTGTAAAGATCAAATATGTAGGAAAAGTATAGAAATGATAGAATGCATTGAAACTAATAAATGCAAGTTACTTACTGACGCCTGTTACTCCTAATGGAGCATAGGCCGACGACCAGCATTCTCCAACCCACTCTGTCCTGGGCCTTCCTTTCTAGTTCCATCCAATTCTTGTTCATTTTTCTCATATCTATCTCCATTTCCCGGTGTAATGTGTTCTTTGTTCTTCCTCTTTTCCTTTGGCCTTGAGGATTCCATGTGAGGGCTTGTCTTGTGACGCAGTTGGATGCTTTCCTCAAATAAATACAAGTTAGCAGGAATAAATGTTGTATGGTATAGTCAAATTGAAACTTCACTATGGAAATAGACTAAGTCAAAGAATAACTATGATGATGTAATTGAAAGATTGTAATACCAAATTACTTAATGTGAGTAATAACGATAAACTTAATGAATTTGTAACGAGTTATAACGTGAATGTAGTAAGGTTAAAACATTTTTTTAGTGTAATTAAAGGCATTAGAGGTAATGAAATAAATAAAGTGGTATTATGAATAAAATGATGAGAATATAATGCATAAGTAAAAGGAGCAATGCAGTATTACTAATAATAATTAAGGTCAAGGTAACGATAACGATAGGACGTACTTTTGTACTCATAGTTCTGGCTTTAGCTCATGGGTGGCAAGAGTTTCTGCTATTGATCAGGACAACGCAGTAGGTGGAGTTTATTGAAATCATCAACGATATAAACAAAAAGCTGATCGATTCGACTTATCCTGCAGATAATCTTACTTAACGAGGGAGGAATTTCCCGGCCAGGTTGCCGTAAAAGTACACCGTCTCAAAGTTATTTCTAAAACTTTTCGCAACTGCCTCCTGATATATTTATATAGGGAGACGAAATCAATGTTGTTCTATTTGTTGGGGATGTTAGATCCCAGAACTCACTTGGAAAAGGACTTAATTTTGTAATTCTTTTTAGAAAATTTGAATTTCTTTGTTTTCACCTTCATGTCGTATTTCCCACTCGGGAGAATCTTAAACACTATTGGTCCTTTGTGTCTTTTAGTATGCTACTTTATAACGCTTCCCAAGGACGGTTTTGTGCTGTATATGTATGTTTTGATTTGTGTCCGTTGTTATCTCTCGTTTTCTGGCTTTTTGTGGAATATACTTCCCCGTTCGAACTTTGATTTCTCTCTTTCTAGTTAGCTGGGCTTGGACACAATAGAATAGCTAGTTTGTTGGTCTTTGGTCACATGTCTTTGTTCCGTTCACAGACTAAATGAACTCATAACCGCTTCAAATCTAGCATTATTCAACATTATCATCAAGATGTAATAATTTAGCTGGTAAAATCTCATTACAAGCAAATAACAAGTCCTACACATTCGTTCGGTAAGTAGTTACTCGAATAATGCTTCAGGTTTACATGGATTTTTGTTAAAGGAATAAGTTGCAAAGCTATTTTATGTCTTGTATTTAAGTGCCTACAGACTTGTGATCGATATTCATATTTCTATTATTCTCATGAAGCAACATAAATATTTCCTTCAAATCTACCAAGTTTCCACCAAATAATCTTAGTATAATGGATTGTTTTGTCCATTACACAATAAGACCAATTATAGTTGGGTTTTTTTTCAAAGAAGGATAAGAATCTTATCACCTGATAATTTCTTTCCATAATTAACTTTAGAAAATACATGAAGTCAGGTTCCCGTATGTTTGAGGACAGTTAATTTATTACACTTTCATTTCTATTTGCTTGGTTAATTCTATAGCCATGTGATTTAACGTTTTATTCTGTCTTCTATATAATCTTTATCGCTTTATGTAGGTGGACTTAGATGTATTAAGAATAATAGTAATAATGACGTACGTTGTCTGCCATAAGAACTAAAGAATTTGCAGATCCCCTAAGTGCCCTGGTACGGCCGAAGGTGGGGAGAGTCCGCTATCCCTCTCGAAATGCTATCGCAAGGCCACTTGCATACAACCACTACCAGAGAAGTCCTACTCACTGCCCTCTCGCGGCGGGGGTGTTGGTCACGAAATTGAGAGGATGAAAAGCGAATATCCGGGGCTTTAAGCGGGTTGGTGAATATGGAGGACCAATCTAGAGGAGTTGGAAAAGTTTGATTCCAAACCAATGATGCACATGGGCTCCAGGATCCTGAATGGCGTATGAAACAATTGCTGGTCACCGGCTACCGTGGGACTACATCTGTTTACGCTGCTCCACTACCTTGTGGATCAAACCTTTAGGTCAGATGCTCAGGGTGTGGCCCCCTAAGGAAACCATCTGTTTCGGTTTGGGCACCCGGCCAGTATCACAGCCCTTACACAAATCAAGTGACTTGTGTGGTGCATATGTATTCGGTGCTCTTCTGCACCAATAATTATGTGTTATTGTGGACAGGAGAAGAATAGACTATTTAATCTACATGTGTTTAGTAGTCGAAACGAAGATGGATCGATGAAACTGATTATTTCTATACAAATCTACACAGATGTAACAGTATATTGATTCGTGCAGTTTTCATGTTGTCCGATAAAAACGATGTTTAATATTAGATGGACTTAATAATATTCAACATATTTACATAAAGATATATACATTAAAAGTTAAAACTAAACTATTCAATGAACTATTGGTACAGAGTAGGTACTCATCAAAATTCATAAACCTGTGGAAATATTGTAAAGTTTTGAAACCAATTTTGTCAGTAGACCGTTAAATGAATATTTC